TTTTGTTTCTAATGTCTCTGTAAAGCACTTTGAATCACCTTGTTGTTGAATTGTGCTATACAAATAAATTTGCCTTGCCTTGCCTTGCCTTGCCTAAAGCATATAGTTAGGGCTGGCTCAGCTAGCACTGAATCCTCCCTTAGTTATGCTGCTATAGGTGTAGGCTGCTATGTGTTTATACACCTCACTGCGTTTAATCATTAATTATTATTGGGGCAGCAGTTATAATATAAAAAATTCTCCACACAAATTCTTGGCTTCAGTGCTTTGTTTTACACACAGCTATGTAGCTGTGATAAATGACATTAAGCCCACACAGCATTCAGTTTTAAACAAAAACACTGATAACACAGTAGCAGCAGTGATGATGATGCAGGCACAGTTAGAGGAGGAGTCAGTTTACACACAGAGAAGAGCAAAAAGGCGAAGCCATTAAAGAGATGAAAAGCTCAGGCTGAGTGAAAGAAAACTTGTTTCCAACATCCAAAATAGCAGTGTTGTTCCTGTAATCAAAATTAAAACCTTTATTGAGAAACAGGGGAGTGCTTCATCAAAGTACCTGATCAACAAAATCAGATGTGAAGAAAGTGTAATTTTGCAGCTGCTCCATCCTCTGCTGTTTTGTTTTACACAGAGAAAAATCATAGTGAGCCTCTGGCAGTTGTACTAAAAGAGGCAGATGAACAGTTAACTTTGTCTGTTAGCAGGTTTAAATTATACAGCTTGGTGTATAAGTTTATGACAGTTGTCCTATTTTGAATGGAGGTGATACCTGTAGCAAACAGGGGTGAGTCTAAAGGGGGGCGTAGGGTGTACTAGACCATATTTATTTCAAGGCTTTTGCAACGTTTTTTTTTTCAGAAAATAATATAAAATATTGTATTATTTAAATTGCTTTAATATTACACGAACTAAACAATAAAAGCTTTTTTGCACAATCCAATAAAAATTTACATGGGTCATTAAACTGTGAGCTACTGACCTGAGGATGTGAGGTTGGACACTGAATTACTATTAATACTAATTCAGGTCTACCCCATCATTACATCCATAAAAAATTAAAGGATTTGCTCAGATTTTGTATTTATTTTTTACTGTTTTGTTTGTTATGACATAAAATAATTCCACAGAGGAACAGCACAGTTAGTTGATGGTCAGCAGCTGAACTCAGAGTTGTTACTGTGGATCACGGCCGCTGGAAGAAGAGGTGCTGGGGTTGCTGCAGAGCTCCCAGTCACAAAAGGCAGACATCACAACACCACCTGCTAAAAGCTAAAAATCAAAAATCAAAAATGAAAAAAAAAAAAAAAAACCCCCACAAAAATGGATCGTGCTGTTAAAGCACTCTGTGCACTATTCCTGTTGTCATTTCCCTAAGAAATTTGTGACAGAAAACGAATAAATAAGTGAAAAAACAGAGTATGACTTTTTCTTTAAATGACCCCATGATGTTATATAGTAGTTATAAGTATTAAAATGGTGT